TACTTAGAATTCAAAAAGTCAGAGCAATTTCTGCCTGGATTAACAGAAGCACAGAGATTCTGTTTCCAGGACTGAGGACCAGGATGCCTGTAATGTCTCACTGAAATGCACTCCTTTCTTGATCTTCCTTCCTTCCTTCCTTCCTTCCTTCCTTCCTTCCTTCCTCTCTCTCTCTCTTTCTTTCTCTCTTCTTTCTCTCACTCTCTTCTTTCTCTCTCTCTCGCTCTTTCTCCTTCCTTCCTTTCTTCTTTTTTCCCTTCTTTCAAAAGTTAAAAAATGTAAGTTTCTGTGAGTGTGTGTGTGTGTGTGTGCATGTGTGTGTGTGTTGCCTGTATCTGTGTCTGTGTCTGTGTCGTCTATGAATGTACTGTGTGCAGAGGCTAGAAGAGGGATTTGCTGGAATTGGGGTTGCAGGCAGCTGTGAGTTACCCCTTGTGGTTGCTGGAAACAAACCTGTGGCCTCTACAAGAGCACCATGCATTCTTTTTTTTTTCAATGTATTTAAAAAATTTTGTTTTTACTGAATTTTTGTGTGAAATATCCAGACTATCTGAAACAATCTTACTCATCTTTATACCCCTGTCCCCACTGGCACCCTCCGTTAGCCCCTCCACTGGAGCCCATAGAATTTGTCATCCGTGTTAAGGGCCCCTGTATCAAGCCAGTGTTTCCAGCCGTTTCCCAGTGCGTGTCCATCCACTGAGGTCTAGTCAGCCTGTCTAGAGTTCCTTGTTTTAGGAAGATCAGCTCTTCATCACCTAGCAGTAATCAATTGCCAATGTTTCTTCAACTAAGGTTGGGGTCTGCTGTCCATTTCCCCAGTTCTATGCTGGGTTTCGTTCCTCTGAGTTTGCATGGGACTTGGTTACACTGACATCATTGTTATAGAATCACATGACCAGGATCCCAGGAGCTTGCAGAACTCTATTTCCACGTGGTCGTCATTCACTTCCTCCCTGACTCTTATAATCTTTCTGCCCTTTCTTCTGCAATGTTCCCTGAGCCCAGAGTGGGTAAAGTTTAATATAGGAGCCCTGTCCAAAGATCAGTATTCTGTGGACTCTTAATCTCTACACTTTGACCATTTGTGAACTTCTGTGTTTGTTGCATGAGGGAGCTTCATTAATGAGAACCGTCCTCTCCTGTACCCCATTCTATGTTCCGTGTACCTTAGGTGAAGAGGTTGCATTGTAGATGTGTGCATTCTGAACTGCTAAGTTATCTCTCTGGCCCCATTGCATCTTGCACGCAAAGAGAAGACTGACTTAAGAAGAGTCCCACTTCTCTTAATGACCACGAAGGAGAAAATGCATTCAGTGCTGGTTCTGGCTTTGCTGGATCTTTGTGACATTTGGAATCAGCAGCAGATAAAGGTTGGGAGCCTGTGGCTGCAGTTTCTCTGTCCTCTCCCTTTTAAGTCTCTCATAATGGGTAGAATGAAATAGAATGGAGATGTTTGTTCTAAACTAAGCTTTCCTAGACAGTTGTTACCTGCTCAGACACTGTCAATGAAGTTGCTAGGGCACTTTGTTGATTTCATACTGAACGTATACTATGCTAAGTACTGAGGGACATAAAATGGAAACACAAAATATTTCTTTAAATTAAAAATTATTTTTATTTTTTGAAAATATACTTACATGCAGTATGCATTTTATTGGAATTTTGCAATTTTTCATGCAATATAATTTGATGGTATTTAGGTTCCCTCCATTATCCACACTTTTCCTTACCGCCCCCCCCACCAAATTTAATGTACTCTTTTGCTTATATAAAATAAGCACTAAGAAAATAAAATAAGCACTAATAAAATAGAGTCTAATTTGTGTCTCCAACCAACCGTTAGTGTGGGTTTGTCTCCTGGAGCCTTGTTAACTTACTAAGACTCATGAAATTGAAAGAGACTGCATCTCCCCCTCCCAGAAGCCCTCTGTTACCAATATTTCCTCAAATAGGGTTGTTAGGAATTTGTCTGGCATGAATTTGTATGGCATTGTGCATGCTGTCACGATTGCTGTAAGTTCATAACTGACTACCTGTCTGGAAAACTCTATTTGCTTATGGTCATTCACAACCTCTGGCTCTTATGATATTTTTGCCCCATTTTCCACAATGATCCCCGAGACTTGGGAGGCAGAATATTGATATGGGTGGCCAGTCCAGGGATACATACTCAGAAACTTCTTGTTCTCAAAGAAACAACATATTTATTCAAGAATATTTCTTGCCTCCCAGAACCTGATGCAGTTAGCAGAAGGGAACATTCTTACATTTATGGACTAGATTCTGTGGCTCACAGATGATTCCAGTGCTCATTACTCTGCTGTCCTCATGATATCACCTTGCTATGATGATGAAACTCCAAGAGCCAAGAGCATATAAATTCCATTTGAGATAGAAGACTAAGTATTCAAAGGGAGAAGTTAGGCAGGACTTTTCTACTCTCCTCAGAAGATGGTGGCTTCATGTTGGGAAGATGCCAAAAGGCTCTGATTCTTAGATGATTTGTAATTCGTCCAGTGGGAGCAGGTTACTCTGGAGGAAGATTCAGATAAAAGAACAAGTTCAGTGCCCTGAATGAGATGATCTGACTAACATGTGCAGAACAGAAAGAAGCCAGTTGTAGCTTTCTGTGTTAATGACCATCTGCTATATAAGGGAACTTCTCTGGTGAGAGTTAATCTATGCATTAATCTATGGATTAATCTATGGCTATAGTAATAAATCATTGAGAGTCAGTTTAATAACTATATTTAGCTAAAAATTGGTCCCCTATCTTGTGACCTGTCTAACCTCAGCTTTCTGACTTGACATCAGGTTCAGTTACGGGCTCCATCCTTAACGGAGTGGACCTTAACTCCTATCAGAAAATGCTTGGTCGCTCCCATAATATTCTTGCCCTATTGTTCCAGTGATTACATCTTGCCAGGGCAGTTGTAGTTCACAGGACTCATAACTGGGTAAGGTTGGTGATTATTTTTTCCTACCAGTAGCATGCATAGCATCTTCCAGCACTGTGAAATCTAACCAGGTGAGACGAGGCTTTGAAGTCAGTAGCAGCTTGATTTGTTCTTGCTTTTTCTACAACTCATGAATGTAGAGTCTTCAGCTATAGGGTTTTACTGTGAAGTTATGGTGGGTAACCCCGAGCAGGGGAAATAGCCAGCACTATTTGAGAGTCTATGGGAACCATGGTCAATGGTTTAAAGAGAGAGAGGCCATTTCTGCTATTAGAGTTTTATTTTGCTAACCTATGGTGTCTAATAGGCTAAGTATCTCCTTATGAGGTCATTCCATTTAATTGCTTTATATAACACATAGGTATATGCTTTAAGAAGCTTCTATCATGTTAGATTTTTCCAGAAACGTTTGGTGTTTCTTGTCCCTTCTCATATGGCTTTTCTAAAGGTCCTCAGTATTACTTGCTCCTCCCCAAACGCCCTCCTCTACCCTGCCTTCCAGCTCCCTCTTTTACCCTAACCTGCTTTATTATCCCTTTTCTTCCTTTGTAACACTGTATTCTATCACCCCTCCCAGGAAGTCTCCATCAACCCATCACCACTTGTTAGTTTCCTGAATTCTCTGGATTTTCAAATTGAACATGTACATCTCGGATTTCCAAGCTACCATCCAGCTGTGAGAGAGAACATGCAATGTTTGTCTTTCTGTGTCTGGGTCATGTCACTCAGAGTGATTGTTTCCATCTCCATCCACTTACCTGTGAAATTCACAATTTTGCTTTTTAAAGAGCTGAATAATAATGTTCTTAGCCATCATTATCCATTCATCAGTAGATGAACATCTAGGTTTGATCCAGTTCCTGGCTATTATGAAAGAGGCAGCAAGCGCATGGATGAAGAAGTTTGTCTTTAGTAGGTCATAGAGTCTTTGCGGCATACACCCAAGATTGGTATGGGTGGATCCAATGGAAGATCAATTTCCAGTTTTTTGAGAAATGTCGACACTGGTTTCCACACGGTGTTAAACTTTGCACTTCCAGGAGCAGAAGGACAAGATTTTCCCTTCTTCACATCCTCACCAGCATTTGTAGCACATGTGTGTTTTTATTTATGTGTAGCCATCTGGGGGTAAGATTAAATCTCAAAGTGGCTTTCATTTGCATTTCACTGATGACTAAAGTTCTTGGATTTAATACGTATATTATGAGTCCTGTTTGGAAAGTCCTTTCCTGTGCCTATAAGTTCCAATGCATTCCCTGCCTTCTCTTCCATCTGATTTATGGCGTTGAGTCTTAAGTGGATGTCCTGGATGCATTTGGAATTCAGTTTTCTGCACGGTGGGAGATGGGAATCAAGTTTCACTCTATATGCCATTTTCCAGATTGACCAGCACCATTGGTACCATTTGTGGAACACGTCATCTTTGTTCCAGGGTGTGTTCTTGGCTTGTTTGTCAAAAACCAGGTCACTGTGAATGATGGATTTACATCTGGGTCCCAATTCTATATCAATGATCCATGTGTCTGTTCTTATGCCAACACCACACTGTGTTCATTACTATAGCTCTTTGTTTCAGTTTGAGATCAGAGATGGTCATGTTCCCAGCAGTTCTGTCACAGTTCAGGTTTTGGCCATCCTGGAGGTTTTATGTTTCCATATGAATTTTGAGATTATTTTTTCATTTTTTGTGAAGAAGTATGTTGGAATTTTAATGGGAATTTGTCAATTGCATTTGGTAGGATGGCTATTTTCATAATATTAATCCTACTGATCCATAAGATTGATTTCTAGTACCTTCTTCAATTTCTTTCTGTAATGCCTTAAAGTTTTTATTGCACAAGTCCTTCACTTCCTTTGTTAAATTATTTTATGATATTTTGTGGTTATCAAGTATATCATAAATGGGATTATTTCTCTGATTTCTTTCTTGGTATGTGTAGCCTTGGTATAAATGAAGGCTGCTGATTACTGGGTACTAAATTTATATCCCTGCCAAATGTATTTATCAGCTCTAGAGCTTTCTGGTGGAAGATTTTGGGTAAAAGTGATGGATACCTTATGAATTTACAAAGCATCCTTGTGCAGGGGTCATGCTAATATTCTCTGTATTGTTCCAATATTAGTATATTTGCTGCTAAAGCAAGCACTACAATACATCATTAATGCTTCAGTCATGGACAGAAGAATCTAGAGTCAACATATCAAATTAAAAAAAAAGAGGAGATGATGTCCAGGGTTAGGGGTGAACAAGGATCAGAAGGAGTTAAAGGGAGGAGTGGAAGTGAATATAATCAGGTATATTGTATGAATTTCTCAAAGAAAGCAACACATTTATTCAAGAATTTTTCTTGCCTCCCAGAACCTGATGCAGTAGCAGAGGGGAATATTCTCCCATTTATGGACTAGATGCTGTGGCTCACAGATCATCAATGCTGTCCTCATGATATCACCTTGCTATGATGATGAATCTCCAAGAGCTAGGAACATATGAATACATAGTAGCCAATGACAAAATTACTGCTAGAGATTGAAGAGGAAGTGTTCAGGGGGAGAAGTTAGGCAGGGATATACCCTTGTCTTCAGAAGATGGTGGCTTCATGTTGGGAGGATGCCAAAAGGCTCTGATTCTTAGATGATTTGTAATTTGTCCAGTGGGAGCAAGTTAGCTTAGCTTGGAGGAAGATTCAGATAAAAGAACACGTTCAGTACCCTGAATGAGATGTTTTGACTAACATGTACAGAACAGAAAGAAGCTGTGAAGCTACAGTGGAGGAGAGAGAGAGAGAGAGAGAGAGAGAGAGAGAGAGAGAGAGAGAGAGAGAGAGAGAGAGAGGAAGAGGAAGAGGAAGAGAGAGAGGAGAGAGAGAGAGAGAGAGAAAGAGGAAGAGGAAGAGAGAGAGGAGAGAGAACAAAAAATAAGTGTTAAGCGGGTAGGGCAGCTAGGGATCTGATCATATGTATGATTAGAAGCTGTGCAAATTGCTTTCAATTTTATCTTTAGACTCTTTGTAATTCACTGAGTTATTTTGAGCAGAGAAATGACATAACTTTAGAGAGGAGAGAGAGAGAGAGAGAGAAAGAGGAAGAGGAAGAGAGAGAGGAGAGAGAACAAAAAATAAGTGTTAAGCGGGTAGGGCAGCTAGGGATCTGATCATATGTATGATTAGAAGCTGTGCAAATTGCTTTCAATTTTATCTTTAGACTCTTTGTAATTCACTGAGTTATTTTGAGCAGAGAAATGACATAACTTTATGTTATGACATAACTTTATGACTGTTTTGTGCAAGGCAAGATGGCTCATGGGGTAAAGGCACTTGCCTGAGGAACTGTGTTTGATCCCTAGAATCCATGTAGAGGAATGAGAGAACCAATTTCTTTTAGTCATCTCTGACTTCCACGTGCATACCATGGCACATGTGCACATGACATAAATACACGATAAATAAAAAGTATAAAAAAAACAAAAATAAAATGCCCTTTTACCTGAAAATAATGCATTTGGTGATATAATTTAATGTCAAACTAGGCAGGGATCCGTTCAGGGTAGAATCTGGCCAGCACATCAAGACATGGAGAAAGTTAGCAATAAGAATTGTTAAGATTTCCAGCTGAACAGCAGAACACAGGGCAACGAAGGCAGAAAATAAAATAGCATGCACACAGTTTAAAAGAAAATAGCGCTGATTCAGTGCAGCTTTCGAAGGGCTGCGTGTAATGTGGATGAATTTTAGAGGCAGCATAGGTTGGTTTCCGGGTTGGGCAGCTGATGATTCCGGCACAGGCAGCCGCCCTTGCTATAGCCCTTGTTTGTAGGACTCGCACAGAGCCCTGAAGCTGAAGCCTGGAGCAGGGCTGTCAGGAATTTTGCTTTAGAAAGCTGCTGAGAATGGAAGATCAGGGGGAAAAATATAACACAAAGCGTTGAGTACACAGCAATGAAGAACTGAGATAAGGAGACATTAAAGCAGAATTTAAAACGCCCTAATTACAAAGAAAAGATTGAGCGGTTGGAGAGCGTTGACGTTGGTAGGTACGTCCACTCAGAGAGCATATTACTCAATAGGGGAAGAAACTTCCGAGATATCAACAAAGCTTTCAATTCAGAATCTGTAACGAATACTTAAAAACCGCTAAGGAGAAGGGAGAACCTGGCAGACAAGAGACGGTATTCTTTTGCTGCAGTTAGTCCATTGTCCCACTGTCCAGTTGTATAAAGCCCCTAACTAGTGTATTCTAATGTTAGTGAAATTTGGGGTTAGCTCCAAGAATTGGCTATTAAGAATCTTGTTAACATACTAATGCCTATTTCTTGATGCAGGTAAATAAATTTATGATTGTTTTATATATATATATATATATATATATATATATTAGCATAGAACCTCAAATGAACAGCAACAAATAGAATTGTCTCTAGGCACATTGTGCTAAAAAGCTTGTAATGCTGTATATTAATGAAGATTGGCCACAGAGATAGTGCCATGATTTATTTGTGGAGGTTTGAATGGGAACACTGATACTGGAAATGGTTTTGCATTGACTCCTCGCGTTGCAGCAATGCATGCCTCTGCACTAAGTGGAAGGAAGGCAAGTGAAGCCTTGGAAGCTCCTGCTTGTAGTTCACGAGCGAGGTCTTGCTGTGGTCTCAATTTACATGCATACATTTAGAATTTGTGTAATTTTTAGGATGCATCATACTTAAATAATTTTAAAATGTGGTACTAAGTTGCCTCATAAGAACATTGTTCTTAGTGTGCTATATACTGAATTCCCAGATTATAAGCAATTCCTGGTTTATGAATATATGACATTGAAATCTGGATCAGAAATATAGTAGTAAAGTTTCCTATGTACCAAATTTTCTCTCTGTGAGAATTAACTAGGAAGCACAATATCTGAGCACTATCTTGAATGGAAATTGCATAGCTACTCTTTGAAAGTCATACAAGTTAGCCCAAAAACCTTTCATTTAACTACATGTATGACATGTGAGTTCATTTATACCTTCCATATTGATTATTTTAATATTTCTTTAGTAACACGTGAAAGAATGATTAATGTTTTGCCTGGGAGGCTTACTGATGTTATAGAAATCTGTCATAAATGAATTCCTAGAGGGGATTCTTGATGGTGAGAAACTGATCATGGGCCCAAGGTGATCTCTGTAGTTTGGTGAATGCTAACAGTTCAGTTATTTTTCAGAAAAGATATTATCAAGTGAGGTCAAGAAATACATAGTGATGGTGTGAAGAAATGATGAGAACCAATGTTTTGCACCGTCTCATCACAAAGTGAACCAAAACAAAATGAGCTAATTGCAAGCACTTTGTTCCTGAATATGACTGTTATGAAAGGGAATGAGTATCAACTCGTGTAACAAATTCTTTCTTAAAACCCTAAAACCGACATATTTTCTCACTTAAAATACATTCTAAATCCTTTAATGAAAGTCACACACATTTCAGCAAACCTGATGCTTAACTTGCACGAAAATATTCCTCCAGGTTAGCATAATGGAAATAAAAACGCAGGCTCATGAAACAGACCTCAGAAACAAAGGAAGCTGTGGAAATGGAGAGGAACACAAAACGCCTCCCGAGAAGGCAGCCCATTATCTCAGTCCCCTCTTCAATCCCCAGACTTCTTAGCCTGAGCCTGGCTTATTTGTGTTATATTCTTATTCCAGGAATGTCTGCATCTCCCTATTGTGTGAATGGCAGTTGAGTTTAGGAGAGAGCAACAGAACAAGTGTGGAAAAAAGAACACCTGAAATTTAACTATTACAGTGCGCAGTTCAAACGTTTTAAACACTAACTGATGAAGCCCACCTCTCAGTCTATAGAACCATGATCAGAAAGTATGTGTTGTAAATGACCAGTAATGGAATTTTATCATGTTGACTTATTCTAATTTGACACAATTGTACAAATATATACTGTATAACGGAGTTTTAATACATGTAACAAATTATAACAAAATAACCAAATCAAGATTCTTGGCAAATCTGCTGCCTCAAACCTTCATGCTTCAAAATCTTCTAGTCACTTATACTGTAGTATTCCATTGAACATTATGGAGATTACTATCCCTAATGAAAATGTAACTCATTAGAAGTCTAGCTAGAGGTTGGAAATTCCATTCTTTGTACGGTTTAGTCTCGGGAAACTTTGCTAACATTGATTTGTCATCTGTCAAAGCCTCTTGATAACTATAGTCCAGATGAATACTGCATTTCAGCTGTTTATTTCAGGAAAGAATAATTAATAGTTTAAACAGGAGTCTGATGATACATTTATTATGACTCTTCATACTTCAGCTATGTGCTTGGGTCAAAAAGAAAAATGTAAAAAACAAACAAAGAAAAACAAAAAAATAAAGAGTACCAAGAAGGGTTAATTTTTACCAAATGAATTTTAAGTAAATATTAGTAAATCTAAATATTGTAAGTCAGGGTTAGCAAGTAGCACATCAAATCAATTAATTTACTCTTAATGAAAATCAGGGCACCTATGTTGGATGTAAACAGATGTGAACTAGACAAATTTGCTTGGGATATGAGTCTCTAGAGCTGAGCCCCTGCTCAAATGCACACACAATACAATATTCATGCATCTCTTCACAATGTTTGTTTCAGTGTTATTTGGGGTAAAACCAAGTTCTTATTATTTAAATCTAACGTTAACATCTGCATAACAACATTGATCATGTAGCTATTTCATACCATCTTCTCTGTAAATGATAGATGCCAGCTCTTTAAATAACTGTGTATGGAGTAGTATCTGCTTTAAATACACTTACAATATAGTTTGGAAAATGAACCTAAACAATAACCATCTGAACATCAAATTTTCTTTGTAATCAAATGAAGGAGAAATCTCTAGTAATTCTTCATCATTTTTCTCATGTGCCCTGAATATTATCATATAGGCTTCAAAATATTCTGAATTATGTGCACACACTGTTTGTGGTCTATACTGTCACTGAGATTTATTGATGTTCAAAAACTGACAAGCTATATTGAGTTTAAATTTCCAATTAACATCAATTTATAATATGAGATAAGTTAGTTATGAACTTAGAGAGCTAAAAAATATGAGCAGGAAATCTCTAATGAACTGCAAATGGAAAAAAGATTAAAACTCA